ACCTATGCACATTAAAAAATGGCATTATGTTTTGCAATGGCATATTTTGTTTTGAGTTTGTATTTAATTTCTTATATTGCTGAGAACAAATATATAGCTGTGGTGTAACTTTTCTACACATACATCTAAATTTTGCCAAGGTTTTTTTTTTATATACAGTAGATTTATAAGTTTGGACATGAACAGGGAAATGGCATTTGTATTCTTTTGTATTATTGAATTGTTTGGAACAAACGTAGTCAGCATCTCGCACCATATGTAGTGAGACTTGTGACTTTCTAAAAATGTAAAATTACACCAAGCTCTAAGCCCATATTTATGCATGGTAATTTAAGATTGTATTTTAAGTAATTTCTATATGACACAGCAAGAAAATAAAATGAAAAGAACAATAGGAGTTATACATTGAATTCTTGAGATTTGCTTCAAAATATGAACGATCAAAGAGAACCTAAAATGGATTCATATTCAAGGTGAATAGTAAGTTTTGGGGACGCCACGTGTTAAATTTTGCTACCATAAGACACACTGTCATTTTTAGGTGACACTGTGCGAAAGTTGTTCTGTGTTTTAATGATTTAGATGAATGAATAAGCGACCTTGCTTGATTTTTGTGATTAATATTTTATTGTTCGTTCTCACTTCCTTTGAATGGCCAATTTGCTTAGTTTACTAGAATATGATAACTTATTGAAAAACATAAATGTCGTCTCTTTGGGGGAAGATTATTTCCTCTGTTTATCACAAACTCTCAACTGGAGTGCTCAAAGACTGTGATGAATGGAGATGCCTTCTAATCGATTGGGGATTGATCCATCATCCACTCGTCCTCCCCGCCGTCCAACAGATCGCTTGGATTGAGCTCGTTGATCATCACCGGACTAGGTTGATACACACGGCAAACATTGACCTATCTCTGTTTTTTTTTTTTTTTTTTGGCTATCTGATTGGATTATTTGTCTCTGTTTGATGCTCTATTAGGCTTGTTGGGCCTTAGGTGTCCATTGTGTATGGCCTTCCATTGTTCGGCCTGTGGCCTGTTTGGCTAGTCATAGCCCTCCTCTTGAACATTTTCAATTTTTCATATAAATGTATATATCTATACTTGCTTGAAATTCCCAAAAAAAAAAAAAAAAAAAAAATTCTTATTACAGTTTAGAAATAAAAAATTTTGGAAGGAGGAAACTATCAAAATTTTAATATTTTGAACCAATCTATATATATATATATCTAGGTTTAAGTTAAGAGTATTTTTATATTGGAAAGAGGAACCCATCAAAAGTATAATAATTCAAACTAATTAATCTATAAATATACATATATAGCTCTCTGGTGAGCAGGAATGAGTATACTCACTGTTAATTGTAACCTAATGATCTAATCTTACAGTTAATTGAATGAATAACTTTTTTAAGAAATTAAAATTCCTTTAATTAGATATTATTTGTGAAATGGCCATAAGGATAGTTTTTTAAAAGGAAAAAAATTATCAATTCCTTTAATTTCATTAAATTTGGACTCCCACAACCTCTTCTACCATGGTGATCACCACCTCCATCACCACCACATCACCGCCACCTACACTGCCATTGCCACCACTGCACCACCACAACACTGCCTCCTCCACGTACCGCCGCTGCCACCACCTACACCGCCATTGTCACCTCTTCCGCCTACACCGCGATGGCAGCGGCGGTGTAGATGGTGGTGGCAACGGTGCGGTGGTACGTGCAGATGGTCCATTCCCTTCACGATTAATCAAATCAAATAATATTCATTTTAAGAAATATAAAACACCATCCGGCCAGTTCTATAATTCAATTTATATTTATGGATTGGTTACAATATAAGAGAGTTGTAGTGGTTATGGCAATTTGAATGAGGTAAGCCAAATCTCCCATGATCATTCCAACCAACTATTAGATGGTGGTGGTGGAGTGGCGTTTAAACGAGTAGTAATTGCCCTGGAATTGACAGGAAGGAGTACCAATTTTTTTTTTTACTTTTGTTTTATTTAATAAGATGTCTAATTTTGTAATTTTATCTTAATGACATTTAATGGTAATTGCATAAACAAGTAAGTTTCTTAAAATAAGAAAAAATAGATATCAAATTAACTAAATTCGTTGGATTAAATCTTAGTACTATAATTAAAAGTAAGTATGTTACTTTCTACTCATTAGGAGTGGTTGAATGTATAATGAGATTCTCAATTCATTTACATGTCTTTTTGATATATTCTTGAATGTGATGTTAGGTAAAGCTTTACAAACGATTCTTACTGACCAAAATAGTGCAACACTACTATATACATATATATATATACACACACTTGAGAATCGCTTTGTAAACCCAATTTCTATTATAAACCCTAATTCTGTAAATTGGTTTTTTTTTTCCTACAATTAAGTTCCTTGGAGACATATTTTTCCTATTAATTAAGAAGATATCTATGATATTTTTATTTTTATCTTTCTCTTATAATTGCTGAGCAATATATATCAAAAGAGAATTGCATAACAGTAAGTCATTTTATTTACTTCTTTGTCCTTGCCAAGTTTTAAATAAATAAAAATAAAAATTACATATATGTCCATGGTCCTTTTCGTAAGAATTTATGATAAGAATTACATCTAAAAATTTATTTAAATTTGACATGTTAATTTAAATTTTTAGTCAAATTCATTAACTCAACATTGCTATCTTACCAGTTACCACAACTATTACCACCTTGCTACCTTACCAGTTACCATTGCTACCTCTGTAATTTTGTCCACACCTATATATAAAATTGAAATTTTAACTTGAAAAAAAAAAAAAAAAAAAACTATTACCACCACAGTAAGAAAACTAGTTATCTTTAAACCATTTATTTTTCATATCATGCACACATATTAAAAAAAAAAAAAAAAACCTTGATAGTTTTACATGTGAAGAATAAATGAAACTTACATATATAAAAAAAAAAAAAAAAAATTTGGGTACATGATAATTTATAAAGAAAAAAATCACAAGCAGAGGACCCCTCAGTTAAAAACTGCAGAAGGAAAGTTCCAGGCATTTTATTAAGGTGTATCAAAATAGAAAAATTACTCCTATTATTTCAACATATAATTAGGGACTTGAGATTGGAGCAACAGCAATATATATATATATATATATATATATATATATATCAAAGAATTTAATTTGAACACACAAGTGTGTGTTCAAATTAAATTCTTAGATCACCATCACTTTGTTGGCTTTGGCCAGTCATATATAGCTATAGGCGGTCTACCTTCACCATTATATTCATACAATCCATCTTTTCTCACACTGCCATTGCCACCACTGCACCACCACAACACTGCCTCCTCCACGTATCGCCGCTGCCACCACCTACACCGCCATTGTCACCTCCTCCGCCTACACCGCGGTGGCAGCGGCGGTGTAGATGGTGGTGGCAACGGTGCGGTGGAATGTGCAGATGGTCCATTCCCTTCAACATTAATCAAATCAAATAATATTCATTTTAAGAAATATAAAACACCATCCGGCCAGTTCTATAATTCAATTTATATTTATGGATTGGTTACAATATAAGAGAGTTGTAGTGGTTATGGCAATTTGAATGAGGTAAGCCAAATCTCCCATGATCATTCCAACCAACTATTAGATGGTGGTGGTGGAGTGCCGTTTAAATGAGTAGTAATTGCCCTGGAATTGACAGGAAGGAGTACCAATTTTTTTTTTACTTTTGTTTTATTTAATAAGATGTCTAATTTTGTAATTTTATCTTAATGACATTTAAAGGTAATTGCATAAACAAGTAAGTTTCTTAAAATAAGAAAAAATAGATATCAAATTAACTAAACTCGTTGGATTAAATCTTAGTACTATAATTAAAAGTAAGTATGTTACTTTCTACTCATTAAGAGTGGTTGAATGTATAATGAGATTCTCAATTCATTTACATGTCTTTTTGATATATTCTTGCATGTGATATTAGCTAAAGTTCTACAAACGATTCTTACTGACCAAGATAGTGCAACACTACTATATACATATATATATACACTGACCAAGATAGTGCAACACTACCATATACATATATATATACACACACACTTGAGAATCGCTTTGTAAACCCAGTTTCAATTATAAACCCTAATTCTGTAAATTGGTTTTTTTTCCTACAATTAAGTTCCTTTGAGACATATTTTTCCAAGATATCTATGATATTTTTGTTTTTATCTTTCTCTTATAATTGCTGAGCAATATATATCAAAAGAGAATTGCATAACAGTAAGTCATTTTATTTACGTCTTTGTCCTTGCCAAGTTTTAAATAAATAAAAATAAAAATTACATATATGTCCATGGTCCTTTTCGTAAGAATTTATGATAAGAATTACATCTAAAAATTTATTTAAATTTGACATGTTAATTTAAATTTTTAGTCAAATTCGTTAACTCAACATTGCTATCTTACCAGTTACCACAACTATTACCACCTTGCTACCTTACCAGTTACCATTGCTACCTCTGTAATTTTGTCCACACCTATATATAAAATTGAAATTTTAACTTGAAAAAAAAAAAAAAAAAACTATTACCACCACAGTAAGAAAACTAGTTATCTTTAAACCATTTATTTTTCATATCATGCACACATATAAAAAAAAAATAAAAAAAAAAAACCTTGATAGTTTTACATGTGAAGAATAAATGAAACTTCCATATATAAAAAAAAAAAAAAAAAAAAATTTGGGTAAATGATAATTTATAAAGAAAAAAATCACAAGCAGAGGACCCCTCAGTTAAAAACTGAGGAAGGAAAGTTCCAGGCATTTTATTAAGGTGTATCAAAATAGAAAAATTACTCCTATTATTTCAACATATAATTAGGGACTTGACATTGGAGCAACAGCAAAATATATATATATATATATATATATATCAAAGAATTTAATTTGAACACACATCTGTGTGTGTTCAAATTAAATTCTTTGATCACCATCACTTTGTTGGCTTTGGCCAGTCATATATAGCTATCGGCGGTCCACCTTCACCATTATATTCATACAATCCATCTTTTCTCACACTCCAAACACACAGTTTGCATAATCCCTTGTCCCTCTGCGACACATAAATGTCAAAACTCCCACTGACATTATTCCATGACATGCTACAGAAGAAAAGCGTAGTTCCGATAAGGTTTTTCCTGAATCTCCATTGGAAGGAGCTTCCATCGGACAAAAACTGATTACCAAGATCATCGTCCTTCGATTTACAATGAAGATTGAGATGTATGCCATCTCCTAGATTGTTGCGAACGCGAACCGTAATCTTGGGCCAACCAAATTTCATGTCTGGGGTTGTTGAGAAGACAACCACCCCATTACACAGAATAATTGACAATGCAAGTAGCAAAATTGCACATTTGCTGAATAAACTCATCTTTGTGAGGTAAAGAAGAGATTTTAAACTTTTAATGAGAGGTTACTTGCAAGCAATCTTCTATATGTAAGCATTCTAGTGAGGTCCAAGTACTCATTTTTAAATCCAATTTGACTGCCGGTAATTAATGGGTCCAAATCACTTGCCATATAACTTATTTATGTAAATTTAATTTACACAATAAGTATAATTCATTCCGTCAACAACTGGATAAAAAAATAGACATAAATAAAATAAATAAATAATGATGAAAAAAGTAATATGAATCTGTACATGGATAATATTTAGTAGAAAAATGAAATAAAAATAAAAATTAATTGGCAACTTTTTATCTGCATATAAAAAAATAAATATTTTATATTAAAAGATAATAAAAATATAATGGGTATGATAATGATTTGATAGATATCTACATGATTTGCTTTGTCTCTAGCTACCTTAATTTTTCAAGATATGATACTTAAAAAATGATCCGAATAAAAACTAATTTGATCGCAAAGTGTATTTAGTTATTTATTCGGATCATTTTTTTAAGTATCATATCTTAGAAAATTAAGGTAGTTGCTAGAGACAAAGCAAATCATATAGATCTCTGTCAAATCATTATCATACCCTTTATACTTTTATTATCTTTTAATATAAAATAACTATTTTTTTATGGACAATATAACTTTTTAAAGCTTTCTTATAATATTATTGAGTTTTAAGTAAATATTGAGCATGACAATAAACAAGAGATTCACATTTTATGATAGATAAGGTTGGTGTTACTCGGACTTAACCAAAGAGAGTGTTATATTTGAAATTAGAGGGAGGTCGTGTCATTTAGACAATCTTCAAAAAAGGTGAGTATAATTATCCCAAAAAATTATATCATTGTTTTGGACCATTAAAATTTTGTTATGTTCTCATTTCCAATAAGAACTTTCTTTTATATTTGATTTCTAAACCCCATTTATTTCTTTTTTTGGTATACCATAGAAAAGGAATTAATAAAAAAGAGTTCTTGACAATATATCTTTTAATTAGTCCAATGGTAAGATTGCTCCATTCAAGTCTTTTGATTGATAATATATTTTTTAATTAGTCCAATGGTAAGATTGTTCCATCTAAATCTTTTGATTGGTAGAATAGATATTGATAACTACAGCTTTGGTTGAGAATGTGAATTTGTGTTATTTAGTATTTTTTATTTCTAAAATGAAACTAGAAATAAAACAGCAAGATTTTAGTAAGGCAATTTAAGATTTATTCTATCCACTGTTTTAAAATTAGAATAAAAACAAGGGTAACTTGGTAAGTAGTGTGTTATAGTGTTATAAAGTCCGATTTTAAATATTGATGTGAAAGAAATATAAGAGAATTTAAAAATTAGAAGTCAAAAAAGTGTGAGATTGTTGAGAGAAAAAGAATAAAGTAACGATAACATAAAACATATCAATTGAAAAATAAAATCTTGTATTGACTAATAGAAGAGTACTTATATTTATTTGATAATTAATATAATAAAAGAGCATAATTAACATGCTAAAAATATATATAATTAGTATAATGAAACTTTTGTGACCCTCTTTTTTTCTTGGAGGCCTTAGGCAGCTACTTTAATTGCATGTGATCAAATTTGAGGTCTAAAGGAAAATCGTTAAATTATGCCTTTTCACATTAATAATATTAATATGATAGTAATAATTTTTATTTAAAATTTATTCTATTTGCTACAAAAAGCTCATGAAAATATAATATCAGTTTTTTTTATAGAAAGAGATAGTGATTTAATTGTGCTCCCGATTGATGTGTAAGAGAGTCAATAAGTTCTAAAGTCTAAAAGAAATATAATGTTGAAAAGTTATTAATATGTTAGAGAATTTGAAAATTAGAAGTCAAAATGGTGTGAGATAATTGAGAGGAAAAAATAAAGTAATGATAAGATAAAAAATTTTATTTATTTATTTTTTAAAAAAAAACTTCTATTGACCAATGGAAGAACAGTTATATTTAAGCATAATTAATAGCTTTTTTGTTAGCTTAAGGAAATATAAAACATTATTTATCATAATTAATACATTAAAAAAATATAAATAATATAATGAGATCACTTTTGAGGTCCTCATCTCTCACTCGGGGCCTTAGGAGACTGTCTTAATTGCCTTTATGGTTGAGTCGCGCGCCCTTGAGAGGCCGGCTTGATCCAATTTGAAGCCTAAAGCAAAATTACTAAATTAGACATTCTCACATTAAATATATTAATACAATAGTAATAATTTTTATTTAAAATTTATTATATATGCTGCAATAATATGAAAGAAATATAAAAATACTATTTACATTTTTAGTTTGAGTGATAGTGATTTACTCGTGCTTCCAATTTGACTTGTAAACGAGTCAATAAGTTATCGAAAGAAATATAAAATATTGATATGTAAGAAAATTTTAAAATTAGAAGTCAAAAGGGTGTGAGATTGTTGAGGGAAAAAAATAAATAAATAATAATGATAAGATAAGAAATTCCAATTAAGAAACAGAAACTTGTATTGACCAATGAAATAAAAGTTGTATTTATTTGATAATTAACACAATAAATGAGCATAATTAATATATTACAAAATATATAACTAATATAAATGAAATCACTTTTGTAGCCCCCTTCTCTCATTAGAGACCTTAGTGTCACAGGCCTAGAGGTTTGGCGCAGCGGCACGGCCCGTGCGGCACCAAGACGTTGCTTCAGCTCGCGCAAGTGCCCTGGTCAGCCACCACGACCTGCTCTCCCTAGGATACATGCTGACTGGTTTCGGCCTGCCATGGCCTTGTCAGGGGAACGGCTCCAGCTCCTGACCAGTTTGTGCAGGGATGGCCAACTCTCTTCTTCATAGTCAAGTCTACGACTAGCGACAAGCACCTCGAACTGAACCGAGTCGACCCGCCTGAACTCTGAAGATATACCATCCTGTGGTCCTGCACGCCCCTTCCCTGGAACCATTCCCAGTCAATGAATGTTCTTAGCCAACCAGCATGCGTGTCTTCTATGCTCATGGCGTCGTTAGGAATCGGATCGTGACATTAGGCTACCTTGATTGCCTTGAGGTTGAGCTCGCCTTGAAGAAATTTAAAAAAAAAATAAAAAAAATAGATATAAAAAAATATTTAATAACCATAATCATACATTCTGAATTCAAAATATAATAATATATCTATTTATGTATATTTAAATTTAACTTCAATTTACGATGAATTTGAATAGTCCAATATTTTTATTTATTTATTTTTTTAACCTTAGTAAAAAATACATTCTTACACCCAGTTTCCTCTTACAAATACTTCAACCCTCCAAAATTTTCTTTCCACTAAACTAACGTCTTAACTCATTTTTGATCCATAACATGGGCTCTAATTATTGCACTTGAATGTCCAATTTTTTATTAGTTTTGTTGATTAAAAAAATTGATAAGTATTAAAGATTGAGTGCCACCCAAACCAACTTGATCTGGGCCTGCCATCAAGAATTTGTTTGGTTCAGTACACAGTAACTGGTCCAACTCACATGTATGTAAGTGTTTGGGTCAGGCCCAATCGACTTGAATATAACTATTCTTCAATGATTTTGGACTTGGCACTCATCTATTGAGCAATGCACAGGGCTAAACGTTCTTGAATTTTGGTTAGTACAATATTGTATCGTCACCTCCTGGTCCAGCGGTGTTATGCGAATGGTTAGGTTGCTCTTTATGTCCAAGAACCTATGTTCTCGAGCCTTGCCATTTTGATTATTAGACCAAATTATCCCTATACTCTGCCAACTAAAAGAAGGTTCCTTGGGTTGAGATTTTTTATTAGAAACTAAGGGGCCTATTTGGTGCAGTTTAATGACACTAAAAAATAGAGAAAGAAAGGAAACCGAAAAAAAAAAAAAAAAGTGGAGAAATTTATTTGGCATACAGTTTCTATGATTATTTGAAAATAGTTTTCTTTTTTAAAAAAAAATTCTTAAGAAAAATGAACAAAACAACCTCTATAACGTTCTCGAACTTTAATGGTTGAGCTAAGTAAGCCTCATCAGCTAGCGATCATGACGAGAAATTACCCTCGTGGGTTGAAAACCCTAATCTTCGTCCGAGATGGGCAAAATGGCTAATCAATTTTTACTTGTTCAACATTAAGTTTACAATATTTTTATGTCCCTAATTTTTTAATTAATGCAGCTTTCATGATAATATTTTAAATAAAACAAAAAAAAAAATTAAAAAAAAAAAATCATAAAGAAGTGTTGATGAAATTGTGGAATAGTGAAGAGATAAAAAGGTTGTCGTCTGAAAAGCATGCAAGTGTTGTTAATGGAAGTGTGAACAGTGAAGAGATATAAAGTTAGGGCTTCTTTTTTTTTGGGGTTGATGGAACACTTTGAAAAAGTCTGAAAGAGAGAGATCCATTCTTTTCATCCAACCAAAGGCAGACAGAGACTTCTCACTATGATTTGCTTCCCAAACTTTGCACGGCACCTTTGCTATAAAACCTTTCTGCCTTGCTTTGTCGCCAATCGCGACCTACCTTTCATTGGGGGGAACATTTTTAGTTTGCTCATTTACATCTTACAAATATGATTTACCGAATATGATGAGTGCTAACTATGGATTTGATGTCGGAAATATTTCCCACTGATTTTATATCTCCCTTCCATTCGAATTAGCAAAAGCAATATAAGATACTATATGTTATTAGTTTCAAACATTCATGATGATCTTAGCTAATAGGGATAAATTACTTATTACATGCAATCATATAATGTTCAAGTTAATTAGCATGTTACATCAACGTAACTTTCTTTGAATTTTTGAAATAATACAAAATAAAATATAAGAGACAGTAAAGTGTTGTTTGATTATCCAATTCAGCGCTTAATTGCGTTTATTCAATTAAGTGCGTTTGATAATGAAATTTAAATACCACTAAAAACCGTTAGCGTCACTTAAAATGAAGTAAAATTTTATGTGACTGTGACATCACTTATCACTGAATGCTGAACACTGAAAATTCAAAAAAATATCAAAAATATTTATTTTTTAATTACCACTTAAAAATTTCAGCACTTAAAATTCAGTTTTTAAGATTTTAAGTACTTAATTTTCAGTTTTATCAAACAACACCTAAATCAAGCATATCGAAATAAGTCTACCCTACGAGTCTAGAACTTTTTATCCCTTGCTCCGCTAAACCCTCGGTAAGACTATTAGATTTCAATAACATTGCTCATATTAGTATAATTATGGAGTGTTTGCAAATTGCATGATTAGATTTGTAGTATATCTTATACGGAATACTTCTTTTTGTTTTTATTTATATTGATAATAAACACACTCATATTTTCATTGACACACATATTTTGCCACACCCCAACTCGAACTCCTTTCTCTTATCTTTAAGGTTGATGGAGATATACCATTGAATTACACGCTCTTTGATTAGTATATCTTATACTTGAATGATGAAAAATGGAACCTAAGTTGATAAAATTAAAGAATGAAAGTGATCATACATAAAAGAGGTGGTGTCTATATATGATCCACAGTGGTTATCTAAATAGTTGATGTGGTCCAAAGTGATGTGCTTTTACAAAATTTTTGAGCTAAAATAATATTTGGTAAATCATAAATGATTTGAAACAAATGATCGAAGTTGATCATCTTGGATTAAAGTATATTATCAAGATAACTGGATCATAAAAGAACAAGAAGTATATTATCAAGATAACTGGATCATAAAAGAACAAGAACTTCATAAAAATTATAACTTATCCTACGGATTGCTAATATCTAAATCAGGTGGGAATTACTATGCAATATTTCTACTTTAAAAAAGTCTAGTGTAGCACTCAAATAACATAGATACTATTTTTTTTTTCTTTTTAAGATATTTTAACGAAAAGTTTTATCGTATTCAAGACTATTTGGTTACGCTGTTAGGTTTGAATAGCATTGTCTTACAATGATAAAATTTATAATATCTATGAAAAAAAATATTAAATTTATTTATTTTGAAATTAAAATTAATAGAATCAAAGAAATTTTAGTTCAAGACAAACATGCTTATAGTATGAATTAGACTGATTCATGGTTTACCACAAATGAACCTAATTTGTACCATTTCATGAAGCATCCTAAACCATAAAATTAACATCTTCTAATATAAAAGTGACCAATAAAAACGTAGCAATGAAGGGTCATTAGTTGATCTTAAATACATGATAGATTATTATATGTAATAAAATTCATATAAAATTACATTTTTTTCTTCTTCTAGAAAGAACAGAGTAACTTTGATTTCTTTCTCTTGCACATCTACATAAAAATAATCTAACAACCAAGAAAAATTGATATCCTTGGAATATAAAAATAATCAAAAGCAACAAAATTCACCAGTAAGAGACAACATATATTTGTATATATATAAAAATATTAATTTATATCATAATACGTTGATTGTCGCTATATGATAAACTATGACCATGAAAAAAGTTTCTTCCAATTAAGATCATCATTACTGAAATAAAACCCATCCTCTTTCACCACCCAAAAGCACTTCCTCTCCCAATGATGACCAACCTGAAGCGCATTGAAACTCTTCCTCTTCTGGTCCCATTTCATGGTGCAAGAGAAAACACTACTAGTATCCCAGAAGTACTTAGTCTTGAAGGTCCACCCAAAATCATCACCCTCCTGGAGGGCACGGCCGCCCATTTCGCCGTCTTTGGAGGAGCACCATATCACCAGCGGCAAAGAGGAGTTGTTGGTGAAGCCATTGACGATCCGAACATCGAATTCGGTGCCACGGAAATAGTCTGGCTGTGTCATGGACATGAACAAAATGCATGATGCTAGGCAAAGTAGTACAAGCAATAAGATTTTCAATTTGAGACTGGTACTACTACCCTTCTTCATGTTGTGGTGGTTCATTGTTTGTGTTATTTGTGTCTCAATGTTGAGAAACAAGAAATAATATATGGGAAAAAAAGTGATGGTACAATGAGAGAGAGAGAGAGCATAATTGTATGTAGGGCAAGTTGATTGAAGATATAGTCTTTATATGGTAAGTCACACTAAAATCTTTGTATTCATAATTTCATATATATATAATCATATCATAGCCAGTGAGTGACTTAAATGAGTTCACACATTAAAGTATGTTGCACACCAACACGTTAAACACAATAGTCTTGACTTTACAGGTTGTCTACCTCTCTGTCCCTAATGGTCATAAAATTATGCTTGTTTAGAAGGAAATTCATTAATGCTTATCAAAGCATAAAATTAAGTAAGGAATTACTGTAATACGAAATGGCAATAACAAATAAATATAGAGAGGTGATATTGGCACTCTACATTTGACTTCAGACACTCTATTTTTAAATTTTAATAATTGAAATGCTGTCTTTACCCTTCATCGTAAGGTCAAAACAGTTATTTCAATTGCTAAATTTGAAAAATGGAGTGCCAACATGAATGTAAGACAAATTAGTTGACCAACAATTCTTATAATGATTAAATATACTAATCGGGAAAAAGAAAAAGGAGTAAAAATATCCCATTTCTTAATTAAAAGTGAAAGCAAGTAAGTTTTGTGAACTATTCAAATTTCAAACCTAAGATGTGGACAATAGATTCATAGTAGAGGTCCTCACAACAGTTTGTTCCATAAAATTTATATATATATATATATATATATATATATATATATATATAAATTTTAAAGCGAATAGTAAAACAGTGTGTAACTTTCGAATAGATTACAGTAATTTTCTATTAGAACTCACATAACAAATACTAAGTAATTTTAGTATTGGACTTGACTATTCACTTTGAATAGTCAAATCCAAAACAGTAGGATTTTATAATAAGCCCAAAACTATTAGTGGGACAAAAATAAAGGGTTGACCATGCTAATAATCAACTACAAAGTAAAATGAGTTTTGGGGTGAAAAGTTTGGCTTGGGCCTGGATTTGAGAAATATTGGCCCTGCTGGTAGCCCAATCAAATCATAATTAGATAAGTATGTAATATATAAGTCTGAAATTGCCCAACGTTGGGCCCAAAAGCATCCCCAGTAAAAATTCAAAGAAAGCATTTTATTTGGTTTAAAAGTAATCTTATTTTTCTGATATATGCTTCTTCTTCTTTTTTTTTTTCTTTTTTTTTTTTTATAATATAAAGGATATTTCAGTAGTAATTTTTGTCTCTCTTGTATCTTTTGACCTTTTATCCTTTTAGTATTTATAATTCTTCTACTACTTCATCAAATTCACTGGTAATTAAATTATTCATAGTATTACTTTTTATCAAGAGATTTAAAACCTTTTGATACATAATTGTTGGTCAAATTTGTCTAAAACGTTGCATTCTATTTCCTTTGAAGAATTTCCATTTGGCCGTAATTATTAAATTATCCCATATATTCAAGTTAACGACAATTTTTCTTTGAAATAATTGTATAAATCAGTAAAATTTCGTAAGTAATAACTAAAGGGCATTCCAAGGAAAAAAAAAAAAAAAAAAAAAAAAGAAAAAAAAAATTAATGGACTCTAGCCTATCCTAAATGATGGTATAATCTCTTTTCCCCAAACGAAGAAATTAAGTATTAAAGATTCCGTGAAGGTATAATACATAATGGTTATGTGTTTACTTAAATTTGTTAAAATATAATAATAATAAATTCACTAAGTTAACAATTCTTTTTCTTATATGGTCAAAGACTCAAAGGTCATCCTACTCCTCTGTTGAAAATTTTCATTTTTTTATAAAAAAAAATAATAATAAAAAAAAAAAGAAAAGAATTTGGAGTCCTGGATGGTTAAATTTTCCAAAAGAAAATTTTTTATTCGGGGAAAAATCGTATTTCTTTGAGAATATGTCTCAAAAACCATAAAATTCAAAATATAAAGGGAAATTGATGAATATCTGAAAAAATGTTTTCCTCCTTCATTCTGGAAAAGGCGGGAAAGCAAAGAGAGAAAAATAGATCGAGAGAGAAAACACAGAAAGGAGACCAAAGAGAGTGTTAGAGAGAGGAGATAGAAAATTTTAGAGCGAGAGAGATAGAAATGGCCGGAGAGAACTTGAATAACGACTTGCAGAGCTTAGTCGAAGCCATCAAAGCGTCAGATGTAAGCTTCGTTGCATTTTTAAGCATGGTTTAATCTCATTCGTGTCGTTCATTTATATATGATTGCATTAGATCTTCCTATTGTAAGTCAATTAGTTTACAGATGAATATATTTTCATGACACCATCGTTATATCACTGTGTTAAATTGTTAATCAATTCAACCAGATCAATTTTAGGGATTTGATTTTAATTTTTGTCATCCTATTGTTTCCTACCAAATTGTTTACAATCAAACTGAAATTTGTAGAGAATTCAGGAAATTAGCTGTTCATTCTATCCCTTTGAAGCTTGTGTGCGCTCTTCATTTACCATCTGTTTGGTTACTGAGAAAATTGGGGCAAGTATAACATTTATACATTCTCAGTTGTATTGACTTCTTTTTCCAAAATGAAAAAGGCTCAAATAAGCCATATAGTTCTATAAGACAGAGACTGGGTATAATGGGAGTTTGCTTTCTCAGGTTCTAAATATAGAAGAGTATTTTTCTATTTTATAATTATATTTTTAAGTTTTTAAAATTTTCTAAGAGACCATGTAGAGCCTTGGTGCCTGTACATGGATTGATGGAATGCTCCTCGGAAATTTGAGTCAAGTTTTGCAAGGTTGTTTAGTTTAATTTTATTTGGGAGTACTAATTTACTACAATCTTTTCCTGATTCCATTTTTTTAGCTTAATCCAGTAGAGTCTACTAGTTTGAGTTTTAATTTATAATCCACAATGCAGGCCTTGCACACTTTCAAAGTGCTACTTACATATAATGTATGATGTGAGACATATTTACCTTTTCTCCATTAGGAAGCAACTTGAGAATGTGCCATTTATTACTATCAACAATTTTGACCCTTGTAGTATGGCATGCATGTAAATGCAGTTTGAACAGATTGACAAAGTCCTTTATTCCTAAGGGGTATCTTCTAAAAAAAATTATAGTTATAAAATTGTCATCTTAATCTCAAAAATTACTTGAGGTTAATATCTTTACATATTTGCTATGTTATTTTATCAGGTATACTCTAGATTTGTGATTGAACTTTTAATTTTGCAGCAATAGAATAGATTAATAGCTTCTGCTTGTTTCTGTTTTTATCCAATCACACTCTGAATATTACAGGTTGTTGAGAGCCGCGCTCAACTGCTTAGCAAACTTCGGGAGTTGGATATATCTGGGAAATCTGAATTGGCTTCTCTTATTGAATCTCTCATAGTATCCAGCCTACCACTCCTACTATAACATGCCATTCATTCTCTTGCATATATATCTTAAATTTTGTGCACATTGGAGTTGGGTATATCTAGCATCTTAATCTTCTTGAAGGACTAAAATTTAACAAATATTAATCTAAAACTCAAGCATTTAGTACCAAGAAAGGAGGGATGGCAGTTTTTTGTAGTGTACAAATTAAAAATCTTGTGCAACAGAAACTACTCTTTATACTCAGTATGGAAAGTGTAAGATATTCCTTAAATACAATCTCAAAGATTTCCTTTCTATTTAGTTGAATTGATTGGAACATCATATTTCTTTCCAGTAAGTGGCTTACTTTTCTTATGCATGAAATAAAAAACAATTGAAGGGAAATGAATAAAGTGATCCGTGCGAAAGGCAGTTAGCTTTTTACAAGGCAAATTGACTTATTTGACATTTTCCTTTTTTGGAATGAAAATGGTGAACTGTAGTCAAAATTGGCTTCTAGAAAGGATCTGAGGCTTGAGTTGTAGGATTGAATGGAAAACCAACCATGAGGTGATGCTCCTGCATTGGAACTGTGATACTGTATTTGTGTTTCTTATCTTGTAAGAAGTAAGCCTAACAGTAACACCACTGGACCACAATCCTGTTCTCACAAAGTTTGTCAAGAAGCTATTATTCCAGCAATAGAATTAATTGTAGTATAAAAGAAAAATTATCTAAAAAGGAGAAAGCTTTAGAAAATAATTGAGTTGCCAATTCGAAATTTTATTAAATATATAGTAAAGCTATCATACAGTAGTTCTTACTTGTAATAATTGACTGTTTCTCTCTGTAAATAACTCATCTTCTTGATTCCTCAAAAAAAAAATCTTCTTACCAAATATTTATAATTTTTTTTTTAATGTTTGCATGCGTGGTTACTATGGCCTGACGCAATTGTGAGAAAGTCCATTTTCAAAATCTATCGATTTAGTGTTCCAAAAGATGAGATGGTATGGTTAGTTAGCAACAACTCAAATTTATACACTCTTATAGTTAAACAACCTACATTGATTGTCAACTATGTAATGGCCATGGTTCCATGTGTAATTTCTTCTGCATATCATTTGATTGCTCTCCACTGTTTATCATATTATTTATCTTAACAAAGGACCAGATGTTTTGGGAAGACTTCACATGTTTGGACGTTTCTCAGTGCATGCTAAACAAAACTATTGTAAATGTGGCTGCAAAATACCTGCAATCTGACATATCCGGATGTCTTGGACTATTTCTTGCCCTAGGGACCAAGGTAGATTTTTTTTTTCCCCGGCCTGTATTTACTTCATTAGGTTATTGAGTAATTGTCTTAACAGAAGATATATTTTAGTTTCTTGAACTTGGCAGCAAAATGTTTTTTAATATCTGTAGTTTAATAATCAGGCAAGCATATGGTGTGGAAAGCATTTGAAGATGACACTTATGTCAACCGACGAATCACAGGAAGAAGAACATTGTAACCTCTTTTTTCAGGTGAATGATATCTGACAGAAATTGAGTTCTAATTTTAAAAGATCGATTTTACAATTTGTATAATTTCTTCTTCCTCATTTTTTTAGTATTAGGTTGTAGGAAGAAACGCCAACTTCTTCCTGTAGGGAAAAGTGGCACTTTCTCCTCTCAACTAGTTATCTGAGAGAAAATCTTTTCACAGAAATACGCAAAGAGGAGTGCCAACTTCATTTTGCATAATCCTTTATTCTTTTTCAAATCAAGTAGTTTTTATGTCAACTTGCTTCATGTAGGAAGAAGCTAGTGCTGGACCCAAAATTCCCTTTGATATATTTCATTCATGAGAAATTGGATGAGACGGTGCTGGTCATAGTTATTCATCCATTATTAAGCTGGCTTATCTAAATTTGAAGTGTGTTATTATCCATTAAAATCTGTAGAGTTCTTTATTTAAATCAATATTGCACTATCATTTTTCTGAGTCTTATATGTCTGACTGAATATACCTTGGATGATTGAATCCAGAAGTATGATTATATCAAGGCATATGCACACCATGATATCATTTGCAAATGGTGCTACTTGTTTAAATAACTTACTTTGTTATAAATCATATTAAACTATGGTATATAAAAATACAAATACTAGAAAACGAACGCACTTCAATACTAACTCCTATTTTGCAAACTGTTGAATAATGTATTAGAATCTTTTCATGCAACTTTGCTTCTCAGTCCAATCTCCTTGAACTCATAAAAGACTTAAATTTGGATTTTCCTAGCCATGCTTTCCTGGATTCATCCTTGGGAAAAAATATCATTTGTCTGTTGACAGAACTTAAAAGAAGCAAAGTGTTTATAAGAAATCAGAGGAGATGATCCTCAGTTTTCCATACTTTTGTATCCTCTTTAAGTTCTTAGATAATTGATTTTTCTATTTAAATTATTTTTACCTATGCACATTAAAAAATGGCATTATGTTTTGCATTGGCATTTTTTGTTTTGAGTTTGTATTTAATTTCTTATATTGCTGAGAACAAATATATAGCTGTGGTGTAACTTTTCTACACATACATCTAAATTCTGCCAAGGTTTTTTTTATATACAGTAGATTTATAAGTTTGGACATGAACAGGGAAATGGCATTTGTATTCTTTTGTATTATTGAATTGTTTGGAACAAACGTAGTCAGCATCTCGCACCATATGTAATGAGACTTGTGACTTTCTAAAAATGTAAAATTACACCAAGCTCTAAGCCCATATTTATGCATGGTAATTTAAGATGAAATCATAAAAGAATTACAAGGAAACATTTTCTGGTGCATGGCATGTGCCGATGCTAGTGTTATTGGATTCCTTTAAAGAAAACGTAACCATAAAATTAGAATTGTGGAGAAATGCAATAGAATCAGAAGGTTTAAAAATTAGTAGGACTAAAACTGAATAAATGGAATGTAAACTTAATGAAGATTCGAATATTGATAATAAAATGGTCACACTTCAAAACCAAAGGATTATCTATAATAACCATTTTTGATATCCGAGCTAAATAATACAAAAGGATAGCGAGATAGATGGCGATATTATCAGTATAATTGCATTAGATTGGACAAAATAGAGACAGGTTTGTGGTGTGTTATGTGATAAAAGAATAACAAATAAGGAAAAAAAGGGCAAATCCAGTGCAAGAGGCTCCCACCACTATGAGGGTCTAGGGAGGGTCAGATGTATAGAGTCTTATCTCCGCAATGTGGAGAGTTTGTTTCCTTGTTTCGATCCTATGACCTCTAGGTCACAATGCAACAACCTTATTGTTGTGCCAAGGCTTGCCCTCAAAAGAATAACAAAAAGTTAAAAGGAAAATTTTGTAGAACAATTATTAGACCTATTATTATATATGGATAAGAGCTTTGGACTTATAATAATAAAAAATAATAATAATAAAAAAAAAAATCATGTAGTTGAAATGAGAATGTTAAGAATCTTAAGATGGAGGTAGAAGTGACTAGAAGAGATAAGGTCATATACCAAAGTGAGAGAGAAATTAGGAGTGATGTCTGTTGACTCTGTTGTTGATAAAATAAAAGAAAGTAGATTTACATGGTATGGACATATACAACGAAGACCCATAAATGCAGCATTAACAAGAGGAAGACTAATTTGTATAGAGGGTAAGGAGAGAGAGTGGAGGCGATTGAAATTACCATGGGATGAATTTATTAGAAATTATTTTTAAAAGTTAAATACTATAAGTAAGATGGCATGTAGTGAAATGAACATAAATAGGCTACCGTCTAAACAATAATATAAAGGAGCAGAAAAAGGATAATTCATATGGCTGAACCCATTCAAATGGGATTAAGACGAGGTTGATGATGATAATGAACCATAGACAGCATCTCATTTGTTACATTGTTATATCGGACACTTATTCATGTAGGACGGCATATTTGTTCTAGTCTCCTTGTGACAGGCCATGTAGGGCGGCATATTTGTTCTAGTCTCCTTGTGAAAAGTTGGGGCACATTTTATTGAATATGTAAATGTAAAGTTCTATCGAATAGGATTATATTGATATTCATAAAAATGGGTAGTCAAGGAAGGGAGGTGACTATGTTCACCTGATATTGGGGCAAGGAAAGGAAAATCATCAGAGGAGCAAGTATTGTATATCGTGGGAAAACTAATACCTTTCCGCAAGATCTTTTTTTAGATTAACAATTTATTAGCTTTTAGGACACTTCATCTGTGTTTCTTGAATTAATCACCTACCATTATTCATAAAATTAAAAACATGTCTTTCTTCCTCGATGCATCTCCTCTTTCATAGATGAGATCTTATGTACCTTTTTTTGTTGTATAAATATTCGTGATTTTATTTATTTTCTTGCAAGTGGTAATTTGGTCGTGTTGTCTTTGATTTCTGAAAATTTACAAGGTCCGGCATTAGTTTATCTGCATTGACATGTTTTTAATGCCTTAAGGCCATCCAGTTCTATTTGACAGCTTTGAACTTTTCTTTTTCAGTTGCTTTTGGATTTGTTAAGCTACTCTGCTGCTAGTTTTTCAGCTCTGGCAAGATATCCTCTTCAAGTTGACAAGGAGTTGATGGTTATTGTTGAGAACTTCATTATCGAACAGTTAAACCTGACTAAGGATTCAATGCTGGAGATTAAGGTATTAAATATTTGCATTTATTATTTCTGTGCCTGTTCATGGTAGAGAAAATTTTGTTTAAGAGAGTTGCCACTATTATGTTATCAAGTAAATTAAATCTGTCTCATATGACATAAATTGCATGTGAAGTACAAAATGTATTTAATTCCATAGGGAAATTGGTAGAAACAAGGAAACACTTGATTTTTCTCTTTATCTTTTAGATGCAAAATTAGTGTTCAAAATGTTGTTAAACGGTTTCAGCCTTTTTCCATATATTATGATTTTTCAGTCACACGAGTTGGTTCTTTGAGAACTATGCACTTTGAGTAAGGAAAAGAGCCTTTTAGCACTGGGCGAAACTGAACTCATAGGCTCAGCTTCATAATGACCTCATCAACTTTTTGGATGAACCATTCTAATACCTCAGTATAAGGCTCAGTTTCTTAATGACCTCAGTTTGAGGAACCAAGCTGACATAGTTACGTTGGTGAAACTAAGGATATGTATAAGTCTTAGTAGTATGGCTATGGCTCCCCCTCATTTCACATGTTGTAATTATGACGAAAAGGCAGTATTTGCTTCAATGTAGACTTGGATTCCTATAAGTTACTTAGTGTACATGTATTTCCCCATCAGTATCGTTCAATTTGAACAATATTCTTTGTCAAATCGAACTCGACTTCAAACTTGGGTTCTTCTATACTGGCTGGTTGAACCGAACATGTTTCACCAAATTCAGTTAGAACTTCAGTTGACCTTAAACATGATCTTAGTTTGAAAAACCAATCTTATTATTTTTCAGAACTCAGAACTGAATGTCGTATAGATGGTATGAAATTTTCCCAAAGTCAAAATTCTAAAATTTTAAGAGCCAGTTTGTCATTCTACCTGCAATGTTATGTGGCAATATTTCACTCCCTTTATCAGTCCACCTTGTAAAAAATGTTAATCTGCCTGCATAATTTATTGGCAATCCGAAAAACTAGTTAGTATCACTTGCTAAGTGTTGTCCTTTATCATAACCAAACAGAGAATTCATGCTTTTGGTTTGGAAATACTGAAGATAGCACAGGGAGTCCTTGATGCTGTGATCCGACTTTGCAAGGTGTATTCTGATGATGTAAATTGGGATTTTATCAATTCAAGAATTGATAAAGCTAAAAACATCATAGATTTTGAAGGGGCCGATAATGCAATTCATGTTATCAATACAACAAGTCGCTGTGTAGAAAAACTGTGTGAATTGGGTATCCTTGCAGCTAAAGATGGTGGGAGTCTTGTGACTATACTTAATTTGTCATGGAGAGGTGTGGTTACCTTGCTTCAGCTTGGCAAGGGCGCTTTAGCAGTAAAGGTGGATGTGGCTGATATTGTTCTCACTCTAATTTCACTGGCAAATGAATCTTTAAGATGTGCAGCTGAGAATTGGTCTTCTGTGCTGAAGGAAGCGGTTTCTGTGGCAGATGCTAAAAGGATATTCCTACCAGTAAAATTTTACCTGATTAATGCAGTAAGAATATCCTCCCAATACCCATGCCAAGCATTTTCAATATACAGGGATATAACACTATGTGTCCTGATGATCTCAACTTTCAGAATCTCACTGAGTAAAGTGGAACTCCTGAAATCTGCTAGTGAATTGTTGGGAGAACTTCTGGAGCCAACAGCGTTCCATTTACTGAATTGTTTATTAAATTCAGCTCAAGTGAAACAGGAACACAAGTTCCAAATTCTGGACTGGTTGTTCATTGATGAAAGTGATTTAATGATTATCCCTGGAGATCGGAATAGTAACTATAGGACTACTTCAATTGATAAAATGTTTTCTTTAAATTGTGATGCTATGCATGGAGCAAGAATATTATTGCTTGGTCGGGTTGCTTTATTTCTTAGTTTTTTGAAAAGTGCTGCTGATCTTGAAGAAGATGTAATACTAGGGATCACTAGAAAGCTTGGATGGCTTTTTAATGTCTTAATTGATGAGGAGGTGTATTCTTCCGTCCTTGCTTTGCAAGTTCCTATATTATATGGTTCTAGTAAAACCCCGGAATTAGCTTATGAGCCTATGTTTTCTAACATTCTGCACGCACTGAAAACATTCATGATTGTAGTCTATTCCAGTCCAGCTTGGGGTGAAATGGAATCCTTCCTGCTCGAAAACTTCTTGCATCCTCACTTCCTTTGCTGGGAGATTGTTATGGAACTTTGGTGTTTTGTGGTGCATCATGCTGAAATAGACATGGTGACTGACATTATTGATAAACTTTGCTTATTGTTGAGATTTGTGGCTTCTTCAAATTCGGTTCTTGTTACTGGTAGTGCTCTACGCAAAATTGCAAGATCAATTTGCATGATTCTTTCATGTTGTCCACAAAATACGGTAGATCGAGCTTACGGTTCCATTGTTGGCAGTAGCGGATCTAAGTTGTCATCAATTATGTTTGTAGCCTTGCTTATGGAAGGATTCCAACTAAATTTGCTTTCGGATAAGATGAGAAGTGTTGTCGAACAAAGAATTGTAACTGAATATTTTGAGTTCGTGGAGAGCTTCAATGACGAATCGTTGAGAGTGTGCGATTCTGATGCGTTTGGTGCACCAGTCTTTGCTATGTCTGCTGTTTCTCAGTCTCTGTAAGTAGTCAGTTCCTTACTATGATATGTGAGCTTCTATATTGAAAATGAATATTTGACTTCTTGAGGCCTATGTGACTAAATGACACTGCTTAAGAATAATCTCAAATAATTTACCTTGATTTTACAATGTCAATCAATAATTTACATTAATTTGCAGAAAATAAGTGAACAATAAATGATTTTGCCTTTATGCAGTGTTGGCCCCTATGTGGAGTGCTAGGAGGGAAGACTGGAGAAACTTCAACTTTTGGCATTATTTTTGTAAAAAAAAAAATAGTTGCTCTAATATTGAAACCCTTGTCCTCATGCTTGTCAGTCTGGGTTTTTAAAATTACAAAGACTGCTGCACCAAACGCATTCTTTATATATATGCATACATATTTTGTTTCAGTTATTTTCTCAAAATTCTTGCCTACTGTGTCTTTACTTATAAGTTCTCAACCATTCTATGTAAACCATATTTCTTAACAGTATATGTCTGTAAATTTGTCATTGCAATTAACGGCAAAAAATCTGATTGCAGCCTTTCCATATGTTTTGTAGCCAGGTCAGCATAACTGATATTGACATGAAGACCCTAAAGTTTCTAGTTTCTGTTATTCACAACTACAGAAATTCTGCGGACAACTTAACAAAGGACCGTTATTGTAAGCTTCTGAGTGAGACATTAGCAATTATATCAACTGTGAAACATCTATATGGATTTGATAAAATGGAAGAAATCATTTTGGAGCTTCAAGGCCTTTTTATCTCCGGTCCAGCAGTCCCAGACATACAATTGAATGACTGCAAACCGAGTCTAGCTCTTTTCATGGCTGGCCTTGGTCACATGGAATTGCCAGAAAGTGCGAAGAGCTCAGCTCTGTGGGAGTTATTTCACATGTTATTAAGAGAGCGGCACTGGGCATGTGTTCATTTGGCAATTACAGCATTTGGATATTTTGCTGCCCGTACTTCTTGCACTGAGCTATGGAGATTTGTGCCAGAAAATGCAGCTCTTTCGTTTGATTTAGCGTCAGGGAAGGAGGCAAACGAGGAGAGATTTATGGCCGAGTTGAAGGCATTTCTTGACAGGGACATGGCTCTACTTACAACGACACCCAGCTCTGATCAGCTTAGGCTGCTCATGAAGGAAGGTCTTGTGTTAAAAGAAGCGGTACAAAAATTTACAAATATTGATCCAGAGCCAGAGCTGGAGCCGGAGGTTATGGAATGTAAAACCATGGACATTGATGGCGAAAACCAAGCCAACAAGAGAAGGAAACTTCTTGATGGAATTAACCAAGGAGTGGAATTGCTGCAGAGTGGTTTGAAAATTATTGGTGATGGTCTTTCCCAGTTGCAACAGCAAAATCATTTCGACTCGAATGAACTTCAGGACAAGTTCTTGACTCATTTTTCTGGCCTTGAAGATTGTATTGCTCACTTACTAGAACTAGCCAATAATAAGTAATAATTCTATCTTCAGCTCCATGACAAAAAAGGTTGAAAATATGTAATACATTGTATACTTTTCGATGTATATTTCTGGCTTTCATAAAGAGTAATGTTTTGGGGTTCAATCTTTTTAGTGGTTTAAATTCTGGTTTGATGATGTGAAAAAACATATTATGTTGATTTCTGGCTTGGGTTGTAGCGTTCCTAAATGCAGGTATGACCAAAATGTCAGAGACTATTCTCATGAGAACAATAAGCCAATGTGTTTAGCCAAAGGGATTCTTATCCCTTTGATATAAAAACGCAAAAATAAATATATCCAAATAGCATTATTCTTCTCACGAGGTTCTACACCGACTACGTCCATTTGTAAATTTGATTGATATATCATATATGTTACAAAATTGACATCTATTTTGCATTATTATTTGTCATCTTGTCCATTTACAGAGAGAATATGGTTGAGACTAATTTGTAGTAAATGTGATGAAGAAAATTAAATATTTTTCTGTAATACAAACAAACCTATTAATGGATAATGGGTTTAGATTGCAATTAATTTTCTTTTAGCATTAGAAAAAACAATAATGTGAAACCTCCCTAAATAGACGATTTTCTATCACAAATTATTTTGTATTGTCCCTAAAAATAGAATAGTCATCGTGGTAGGGCTTCAAATTCAAAAACAGTAAATACATCTCTTCCTTTTGAAGGCCCATCCCTACAAAACCTTTGCAAGAAGGTGAAAATTGTTATTTCACTCATTTCGATCCGTTAGATATGTTACTGAATTTTGGATCAATAGCCAACTTAATGCATTGAATGAGACGCTTCATTGGGAAACTTTTGTCACCTACCCTTCATTAATATTCAGAAACTTATAAGGTTATCAAATTGCTAAATCGGGTATAATTCCATCTTATACTATGAAATTATCAGATACCCTTTTGAAACAATTTTACATTTCTCTTGACAAAAAGTCATATATTTTCAGTATGAACAAAAAGAAGAGTATTCAAGACATGAACTCTTTCAAAAAAATTGTGTTCATACTAATCACGTACAAGTTTTTCTTCTCTCTTTTTCAAAATTTAATAACGTATGAGTTAATGGTAGAGTCAGACACCATAACTCAGCTTCAAGTGTCAGTGATCAACAATTTAGGCGATAATACGTCGCTGACCGGTCATTGCCGGTCACCAGACAGAGATATCGGCATTCAGACCGTCGAGTTTGGTGCCGGTTTTGGCTGGAATGTGGATGTTGTTGTTAGGAAATCCGAGGCATACTACTGTGAGTTGAGTTCTGGAAAATTGCATGGACATTTTGGTCTTTTTGAAACCGCAAGAGATTATGGTAGGTGTGGTGGTGGTGGTGGTGGTGGTGGTGGTGGTGGGTGTGTTTGGAGGGTGGATTGGGATGGATTGTATCTCTACGTCAAGAAATCAGATGATTATGTGTTGCAGTTTCGCTGGCCATAGTGTTTGGCTAACGAGAAAATAAGAATTTGTAAGGATAACTCATTTTGCTTTTGGTTCTTTTGGTTGATTTGGGTACTTGTTGGTGTTCTTGTGAAGTTATGGCTACAATTTTATTCGGACTCAGTTTTTATTTTTATCTCTTCATTCCTTACAAGCCGTGGATCAGGATTATAGATTTCATTATAACTGAGTATATAAGTGCATTTAGGGTTTGTAAGTCATTTTAGAGAAATTGAAATTTGTAATCTCGTCATAATTTTTTTATGACTTTATTTCTTAGGTAGATCAGAATTATAAATTCCATTACAACACAGTATATAAGGTCATTTAAAGTTTACAAGTCATTTTTAAAAGATTGAAATTGTAATCTTATAATTTTACATATTTTTATTATCGAATCTTTATTGTTCAGTCTCTTTTATTTATTTTTTCTAGTTTCGTGGTGAAAAAAATAAAGAATAATAAAAAAAAATCAAATCATGTTACCGAGTAATCTACAACTCCCTAATGAAAACTTTTGGCATGAATTAACCGATCCTGATTGTTTAGATATCAGTGTGTGTACCACTTTTTATAGCATATTGTGTATTGAATTTTGCAATATAAAAAGAGTATATACATCAGTTATTTTTTTTTTTTACAAAATTAAATATTGGAAATATGAGGAAGAAAAAAATGTTTGATTTTTCTTGCATGCCTTAAATAGTGAACACCTAACCTTATCATTATACATTTTCTTTAGTACTTTGAAAATGTCAGTGATCCCACTCACAGTGGGTGAGTAATTTAAATTCTCCAATGCTTGGCAAGAGTAAAAAAAAATAAGAACAATATTAGCCAAGACATGACTCTTTTGAAAACTTTTGTGCTCATACTTTTTCCAGCACTAACCATGAATGAGTTGCAGGTAAGAGTCTCTCACCAATGAGGCACCAATGATTCCTGTGTTGATGATCACCAATTTAGAAGAAATTATTAGATACTTCAAGATCATATGATTTCGATTAATCACAAGTTATCATGTAATTAAATTTGTCAATTTTACTTAATATTTTTTTTATTACGTGACAGCTTGTGATTGGCTTAAACTACATAGTCGTGGAAGAATTAATAATTTTTCACAATAAGATTGTGAGTTACATTTCTCAAATGTAACATTTACAATGGGACGGAGGGAGTAATTTATTGTTGACTATCCATTGCCAGTCACAAGACTGAGATCTTGGCATTCAAACTGTCCAATCTCGAGCTTGTCTTCACTGGATTGTCGATATTGTTGTTAAGAAATCTGAGTCATAATACTACTGTGACTTGAGTTCTGGAAAATTACATGGCCATTTTGACATATTTGAGAGCAAAAGACATACGGTAGTGGTAGGTGTGGTAATGATCAGTGTATCTAGAGGGTTGATAGTAGGGGTGCAATTAGGGCCAATTCCGGTCAGGTTTTGTCCCAGCCCTTCGGGTTGGGCTCGAGGAGTTCGACCCGAACCCAATCCAAAACCTGAAAAAACTGTAGCATTTATATATATATTTTTAAATATCTCCCAAATCATCTTGCGACCAACTTCAAGATAGGTGTATATCTTGTGTGTGTGTGTGTGTGTGTGTGTCTTGTGTGTTGGTATGTATGTATGTACAGACCTCTAAAGCAACCCCAATGAATGAAGCTTCAGCCAAGATGATTGCTAAGCCCCTGTAGTATGCCGACCGAGTTCAAAATCTGAATCATGATTTATTGTTAAGAACCCCGTGTATTTTCGATTCACTACTAGGATTTGATGCTAGGGCTTTGACCCCGAAATAGGCCCACCAATAGTTGTTGCTTTTTTTTTTTTTGACTTATGTCTTATCAAATACATATTATTCATATTTAATAGTTGTCTAATTTCAATTTGAAATCTTTTAAGTGTTATTTTTGAAAATTCAAATTTATATATATATAAGTAAATATAACCCATATTTTTATGGGAGGCTATTTTTTTTAACCGATTTTTCCAGTTTAAATATATATTATTTAAATTATTAGTAATACTTAATAAAAATAATAAACACAAAATAAAAATATAAGTTTCAATCAATCAAATTACTAAATAGTTTCTAATTTACAAAAGATTAAATTATAAAACACAAGTTATATAGTAATTTTAGAACTTAAATAGAAATTTATTTACTATATATATAATTAAACGTGTATAAACTAGTTAATCGTATCGCTCAACCCAAACACGATACGATTAACTAAACGGGTTAATCACATCACCCATTTATGACCCGAACTCCTTTAAATTCAACTCAAATTCATTTAACTCATGTCGTATTTGAATCGTGTTGGCAGATCGAATCAACTTTTGTCACCCCTAGACACTTAACAAAATATATAAATAGTAACACAAAAAAAAAAAAAAAAAAAAAAAAAATTCCAGTATACATGTGCCTTAATACATGATAGTATATTAAAGTAGACATGTTAATGAATAGAATTGATCAAATTCATATTCGATTTGTTAAGTTAACGGATTATCAATTTCAGATCTCTAACAAGTTATCGGATTGAATGTTTTAATTCATTTCTTATTTAGCTCGAATCCGAATTCGAATTAAAATCATATTCACGAACATATATAGTTTTAAAGTTAAAACGTAACTATACAATCAAATAGGGATGTCAATTTTTACCGTCCCGCCGGGGCCCCACCCCGTTCCTCCCTGTTAATAACGGATATGGGAACACGTATTATACCGTTGGGGCGGACATAGATACAAATTTGGTACCCGTCGAGGGTCACGAGGCGGGTAAGGGTTCAATATACATATCCTAGGGGCCCCGCCCCGCATATAACTATATTTAATATATATATATATTAATAAGTTATTTTAGCGGCTTACCCAACCCATCTCTTACAATCCTAATTTGGGATGTAAACTTGGTATTAAATTTGCTTTTGTTTTGGTTATGGTGGAAGTTGGAGCTTAAAACTTCTTGTGATTTGGTTGTATTAAACTTTTATTTTTGTTTATTATGTTCTTTGAATTATATTATGTGCATGTTATTTTTTTTATTTTTGTTAGAATACATAATTTTATTTATGTTGTGTCATTCCTAGGCTTTGCACATTTAAATAGCAGGAGTTTAAGTTCCAAAAAGTGGGAGAAAAAATTTTGTTAGTGGGGCGGGCACGGGGCACAGTATTTCCTAACGGGGCGGGGTTGGATATCAAAATTCAACCTGTCGCGGGTCTCGGGGCGGGCATGGACTTGACAAAAATTAAAAGGGACGGGGCGGAATTTAAGGAAACCCGCTCCAAACCCGCCCCGTTGCCATCCTTACAATCAAATGAATATATTAATAAATAATTAATGTATATTAATTTAATAATAAATAACTAATATATATAACATTCATATATAATATATTGTAATGTAAAAAATTATATACATTATAATTGAATTAAATTAAATAAATTTATATCTAATTTATTAAGATAATCATCAAATATATATTTTTTAATTCGTATTTAAATAATTAGATCCAATTCGAATCAGAATTCACATTGAAGTTGGAAATAGTATCCTAGAAATGAAAAGTGAGTAGTAGTGGTTTTAATCACCCGCCTGTGAACTAGACAAGTGTCACCTGCGTCGCCTGATTCTACAAACACACGTGTATTCTCTCGATTGGGTTTCTCTCACAGCCAAACTCTCTCTCTAGACACAGTTCGCATACAATCGGAGAATCTGAGAAGAGAAGACGAAGGAAGATGACGGAGGCTGTGATAAGGAATAAGCCGGGTATGGCGAGCGTGAAGGAGATGCCAATCCTCCAGGACGGTCCGCCGCCGGGCGGTTTTCCTCCTGTCCGCTTCGCTCGCCGGATCCCTAATAAGGGTCCGAGTGCCGTCGCAATTTTTCTCACTGCTTTCGGGGCTTTCACTTGGGGCATGTACCAGGTCGGCAAAGGCAACAAAGTCCGAAGGTCAGATTTTCTCCATCATCGTCTTTATGATTCAATATGTATCTCTCTCGATATATCTCTACATCTTGTGGGTCTCGATGTGGGAAATTCTTTGATTTTTGTCATGGTGAAGATGATGATTATTCGTGATTGAATTTTACTGATTATTTGCCAAAAAAAATTATAAAGTTAAACGTGTGGAAAAATGAAAATCTTGAAGGTGTTTATTGATTTGAATCGAATTGGGTCCTCATGTTTTTGCCTCAGTTATGAATATATTGATGAATGCTCTGATGATGGTGCCTGCATGTTTTCAGCTGAATTGGGAAAATACAGGCTCTAAATTTAGAATGTTGGGCTCAAAATTTTGGAGCCTCAGCTTGTCATCTATATACTTGTAAGGATGGAGTGATTGAGTGGTAGATCTTTAGGACTCGGGTGTGCAGGTTGTGAGTGCAAGAAGGATTTTATGACTTCTATATAATATGATAAGATTATAAAACCCACCATGGTTATGGATGACCTGACAAGACACATCCAATATGAGATTGTGTGGTGTATGTTACTTGTGGTTGATATTATTTTAGTTGATGAGACTAGAGAAGGAGTTAATGCCAAATTGGAGGTTTGGAGAGAAGTTTTAGGAAAAAAAGGGTTTAAGATAAGTCGAAATAAAACTGAATACATGTAATGTACTTTTAGTAAATCTAGAAAGACAAATGAGGAGGATTGAGAATCAAGATGTACAAAAACTGAATTTTTTTGTTATTTAGGCTCAATGATTCATAATGAGGGAGAAATTGGAGATGACGTTAATCATGTAATCAAGGCAGGATGGGTTAAATGGAGGCGTGAATCTAGGCTATTGTGTGATAGGCGTATCCCCTTACAACTGGAAGGGGAGCTCTATCAAACAACTATCAGACGAGTCATACTTTATGGTATCAAATGATGGGCAGCTAGGAAACAACATTTGCATATAGCCAGTGTGGCAAAAATGCGAATGTTGAGATGGATGTGCAATTTGACTAGAAATGATAGAATTAAAAAAAAAAAAAAAAAAATCGTTCGGGAGATGGTTGTAGTAGCACCAATTAGAGGTAAAATGAGAGAAAAAGCTCCGTAGTCATGAATATTTAGTGCTAAACAAAAGCTCCGTAGTCAATCTTGATTGTCAATATAATTTCGATTTTCCTTTGTCACTTGTGTTCAAATCAAGCTCTGTTGCTTCATGAATATGGAAAAATTAATCTTTCGTAAATTAATATGGAAAAATTAATCTTTCGTAACTTTGCTCTGAATGATGAACTTTCCAGAAAGGTTTTTTGGTCAGTGTATACTTGCAAATATTTAGCTTGAAATTATCTGGTTAGAGGATTGATGCTAGTTAACTTTCTTGGATTTAACATGTGTAATGCTGATAGTTCTAGGCGATTCCTGGGTTGTTTATAAAATCTGTGCTTGGAACTGTTTATTTGGGTTTTTGGTGTGTGAGACCCTAAACAATGTTATCAAAAATGTTGAAAGAGTGGTTGTGATTTCAAATATATAACATTAGTTCAAAGTTAGGAAGAATGATATTGTCCATGTTGATATAGTAGGGAAGGATGTAATAAATCTGTTTGAACGAGGCTATGACTTTGGATAGTGCAGAATGGAAAAATAGGATTCATGTAGCCGACCCCAGGTAGTTGGGGAAAGATTTTGTTGACTACATGAGTACGGAGCACTTTTACGAAGGCTCATATTGGATGGATAAAAGGAATTAGTTACTTGGATCTGAAACTATCATTAACTTACTGGGAATATATTCGCTAATCCTTAGAGGGGTCAATTTCATCTATTGTATGGGGATTTCTGTTCTGGCTATTCAACACTCACCAATGATTGAGCATTAGCTTACTGGGAATATATTATGGTTTGTCTTAATTGTTGAAATATAAGATGACCGAGAAGAGTGGGTGATTAACTAATGATTGGTTTGGTCAAAAGGAAGGGTGAGCTGATAATTTTATCTCAATGGATAATCAAAATTAGCGCAATGTTGAAGCATTAGTTTACCGGGAAGCATTTGTGGGTTGTTGATGATTCTTCCATGATTTGGTTGGAAAGGGGAACGAAAAGACAGATGGGGCCTTTCCATCTGGCCCCATTATTCCTTCCACCCAAAAGTGGGAGGAAAGGAGGAGGAAATTCCCCCTCTATTCACATATTGTGTCCCTCTGAAGAGAAGGGGAAATTTTTGCCTATAATAATAATATTCTATTTAAGAATACATACCCGTCCCATATTTCTTTCTCAAACCACACTATATTCTATTTAAGAATACATACCCGTCCCATATTTCTTTCTCAAACCACACTAAAAGAGTGAAAACCTCCTTCCTTTCTTTAGGGACCTCTTCTATGCCTTCCATCTTTCCTTCTTCCTGTTTTTCATCCCTCATACAATCATACCGAATGAAGCATGAAAGAGGATGTGGTTTTTGATAGAGCTAAGGAAAATGTACTTGTCTTATCTACTCAATAGTTCAAATTGGGGCTTTGTGAATTGAGTCGTAACCTGTTGAATCAGACAGAATGGTAGGACTGTTTCTGTCAATGTGAAATTTTGGCATATAAAGCTCATACAGGAACATGGCAAACAGCATGATTCAAAAAACTGTATGCTGTCAGTTAGAATCTGATGTAACAGGGACTTCTCATGACAACCTAAATTATGGGGGCATATCTTCTTGATTTTTTTCCTGATATGAAGTTGAGTTAAAAGAAACTAATTTCTCGCTTCTGGTAGGACAAGTAAAAGGTTACTAAAGCATGATGCAATTTTTATCCTAGATTTGGTCATAATATTATCAAGTCAGATTTTGATGCATGACAAGTGACACATCCTAGTATATGTGCTTCATGCTGAGTGTAAATGTATAAAGGAATGTCGTTGAATATATGGATATAAGCCTAAAATGGATAGTTTGTCATCATTGTTAATATTATACTTTTATTTATTACCCTTTTTCTCTGCCTTTATTCTACAATAGTTATTGTTACTGTGCCTCATGCTCTTGATAAGCTCATTATTTAATTGCCTATTATATTGGGAGTGGGATCAGTGGTAGTTTATCTTTAAATCAATGATAAATAAGTGCCAAAGCTGCCTAGTTTCTTATACTATTAAAAAAAAAAAAAAAAAAGAATTATTGAAATAATCATTGATATGTAACATGCTGATGATTTCTACATTATGCAGGGCACTGACGGAAGAAAAATATTCTGCTCTGCATTATTTGATTGCTCTCCACTGTTTATCATGTTAATTATCTTAGCAAATGACCAGATGTTTTGGGAAGACTTCACATGTTTGGACATTTCTCTGTGCATGCTTAACAAAACTATTGTTCATGTGGCTGCAAAATACCTGGAATCAGACATATCCTGATGTCATGGACTATTTCTTGCCCTAGGGACCAAGGTAGATTTTTGTCTGGCCTGCATTTACTTCACTAGTTTATTGAATACTTGTCTTAACAGAAGATATATTTTAGTTATTTGAAAATGACACTTATGTCAACCGATGAATCTCAGGAAGAAGAACATTGTAACCTCTTTTTTCAGGTGAATGATATTCGACAGAAATTGAGTTATAATTTTAAAAGTTCAATTTTACAATTTGTATGATTTATTCTTCCTCCATTTGTAGTTTTAACTATTAAGGCTGTAGGAAGAAATGCCATCTTCTTCCTGTAGGGAAAAGTGGCGCTTTCTCCTCTCAACTAGTTATCGTAGAGCAAATCTTTTCGCACAAATACACAAAGAGGAGTGCCAACTTCATTTTGCATAATCCTTTATTCTTTTTCAAATCAAGCAGTTTTTATGTCAACTTGCTTCCTGTAGAAAGAACCTAGTGCTGGACCCAAAATTCCCCTTGATATATTTCATTGATGTGAACTTGGACGAGATTGTGTTGGTCATAGGTTATTCGTCACTTATTTAGCTGGCTTATCTAAATTTGAAGTGTGTAATTATCCATTGAAATCTGTAGGGTTCTTTATTTAAATCAAATTATATCAGTATTGCACTATCATTTTTCTCACATAGTCATATACGTCTGACTGAATACACGTTGGATGATTGAATCTATACACGTTGGATGATTGAATCTACAAGTATGATTATATTAAGGCACATGCGCTGCATAATACCTTTTTAAATAGCTTACTGTGTTATAAATCATATTAAACTATGGTATATAAAATACTAATACTAAAAAAGGAACTCACTTCAATACTAACTCCTATTCTCCAAAAGGTTGGATAATGTATTAGAATCTTTTCATGCAATTCTGCTTCCTAGTCCAATTTCCTTGAAGTCATATATACTTAAATTTGGATTTGCATAGCCATGCTTTCCGGATTTATCCTTGGGAAAAAATATAATTTGTCTGTTGACAGAACTTAGAAGAAGCAGAGTGTTTATAAAAAATCAGAGGAGATGATACTCAGTTTTCCAAACTTTTGTATCCTCTTTAACTTCTTAGATAATTGATCTTTTCTTTTTAGATCATTTTTTTTATTTAATTGCTTATAGTGCTGAGAACAAATATATAGTTGTGGTGTAACTTTTCTACACATACATCTAAATTTTGCCAAGGTTTTTTATATCCTGTAGAATTATAAGTTTGGATATGAACAGGGAAATGGCAGTTTTTTTTTTTTTGTCTGGAACAAACATGGTCAGCTTCTTGCACTATATGTGATGAGACTCGTGACTTTCCTATAAATGTAAAATAACACCAACCTCTAAGCCCACATTTATGCACGGTAATTTAAGATTAAATCACAAAATATATATATTTTTTTTAGTTGGTACTCACACACATACGTCTTTATTGAGACTTGAACCCCTGACCTCCCTTTGGGAAGTAAGAGGCTAATACCGCTAGGCCACCACAAAATAATTACAGGAAAAACAAAAAATAAGAATCGTGGAGGAATGCAATAGTATCAAAAGGTTTAAAAATTAGTAGGACTAAAATCGAATATATGGAATGTAAATTTAATGAAGGGTCGGATATTGATAATATGGCCACACTTCAAGACCAAAGAATTATCTATAATAACAGTTTTTGATATCTAAGTTCAATAATACAAAAGGATAATGAGATAGATGGCGATATTATTAGTAGAATTGGATCAGGTTGGACAAAATAGAGACAGGTTTGTGGTGTGTTGTGTGATAAAAGAATAACAAATAAGTAAAAAAGGGCAAACTCAGTGCACGAAGCTCCAGCCATTGCAGGGTTTGGGGAGGGTCAGATGCATGCAGCCTTCCCTCCGCAATGTAGAGGTTGTTTCCTTGTTTCGAATTTGTGACCTCGCGGTCACAATGCAACAACCTTACTGTTCTGCCAAGGCTTGCCCTTAAAAGAATAACAAATTAGTTAAAATGAAAATTTTGTAGAACAATTATTAGACCAACTATTATATATGGAGCAGAGTGTTGGAATTTTAAAACAAAAAAACTACAACGAATTCATGTAGTTGAAATGAGAATGTTGAGATGGATGGTAGGAGTGACTAGAAGAGATAAGGTCATTAATCAAAGTGTGAGGGAGAAATTAGGAGTGATGCCTGTTGGTGATAAAATAAAGAAAGTAGATATATGTGGTACGGACATATACAACGAAGACCCATAAATGCAGCAATAACAAGAAGGAGACTAATTTGTATAGAGGGTAAGCGAGAGAGAGAGGCAGGAACATGGGATGAATTTATTAGAAATGAGTTCTTAAAGTTAAATACTATAAGTGATATCGCATGTAGTGAAATGAACGTAAAAGGGCTACCTTCTGAAAAATATATATATATTAAATTCCCGTTCATATGGGATTAAGACAAGGATGGTTTTGATAATGAACCATAGACAACATCTCATTTGTTACATTGTTATATCGGACACTGATTCGTGTAGGAGTGACATAGGTTGAGGCACATTTTCGTTAATATGTTAATGTAATTATATTTAGTTCTATCGAATGGGGTTATATTGATGTTCAGCAAAATGGGTAGTCAAGGGAGGTGACCATCTTGGCCTAATATTGGGGCAAGGAAAGGAAAATCATCAGAGGAGCGAATATTGTATATTGTGAGAAAACTAATACCTTTCCGCAAGATCATTTTTTAGATTAACAATTTCTTAACTTTTAGGACACTTCATCTGCGTTCCTTGTATTAAACTCCTAGCGTCATTCATTATGTCAAAAACATGTCTTTCTTCCTCGATGCATCTCCTTTTTCGTAGATGAGATCTTATGTACCTTTTTTTTTTTGTATGAATATTCGTGATTTTATTTATTTTTTTGCAAGTGGTAATTTTGTTTGTGTTTTCTTTGATTTCTGAAAATTTAGAAGGTCCGGCATTAGTTTCTCTGCAGCGACGTGTTTTTAACGCCTTAAGGCCATCCAGTTCTATTTGACAGCTTTGAACTTTTATTTTTCAGTTGCTTTTGGATTTGTTGAGCTACTCTGCTGCTAGTTTTTCAGCTTTGCAAGATATCCTCTTCTAGTTGACAAGGAGTTGATGATTATTGTTGAGAAATTCACTATCGAACAGTTAAATTTGGCGAAGGATTCAATGTTGGAGATTAAGGTATTAAATATTTGCTTCTATTATTTATGTGCATGTTCGTGGTAGAGAAAAAATTGTTTAAGAGAGTTGTTTATCAAGCAAATTAAATCCGTCTCATGTGACATAAATTACAAGTGAAGTAAAAAATATATTTAATTCCATAGGGAAATTGGTAGATTAGAAACACGGAAGCACTTAATTTGCTCGTTATCGTTTATATGCAAAATTATTTGTGCAAAATGTTGTAAACAGTTTTCAGCCTTTTTCTATATATTATGATTTTTCAGTCACATAAGTGCTGGTTCTTTGAGAAGTATGCACTTTGAGTAAGGAAAAGAGCCTTTTAGCAATGGGCGAAGCTGAAATCACGGGCTCAGCTTCGTAACGACCTCATCAACTTTTTGGATGAACCTTTCTAATGCCTCAGTATAAGGCTTAGTTTCTTAATGACCTCAGCTTGAGGAACCAAGCTCGACATATTTACATTAGTGAAACTAATGATATATATAAGTTTTAGTTGTATGGCTCTGGTTCCCCCCGTTCCACCTATTGTAATTATGATGAAAAGTCGGTATTTGCTTCAATGTAGACCTGGAATCCTTTAAGTTACTTAGTTTATATGTATTTCCCATCATTATCGTTCAATTTGAAAAATATTCTTTGTCAAATCGAACTTGACCTCAAAATTGGGTTCTTTTATACTGGCTGGTTGAACTGAACACGTTTCACCAAATTCAGTTAAAACTTCGGTTGAGCTTGAACATGATCTTAGTTTGACAAGCCAATCTTATTATTTTCCAGAACTCAGCATGGCTTGGTACATTTGCATCCTTATAGCAGATTGTGAATGTTGTGTAGATGGTATGAAATTTTCGCAAGCTAAAATCCTAAATTTTTAAGGGAAAGTTTGTCGTTCTATGAAATTTTATGAAATTGGGTTCTTTACCAGTCCACCTTGTAAAAAATGTTATTCTGTCTACATAATTCACCGTTAATCCAAAAAACTTGGTAGTATCACTTGCTAAGGTTCTCCTTTATCATCACCGAACAGAGAATTCATGCTTTTGGTTTGGAAATACTGAAGACAGCACAGGGAGTCCTTGATGCTGTGATACGACTTTGCAAGGTGTATTCTGATGTAAACTGGGATTTCTTCAATGCAAGAATTGATAAAGCTAAAAACATCATAGATTTTGAAGGGGCTGATAATGCAAATCATGTTATCAATATAACAAGTCGCTGTGTAGAAAAACTGTGTGAATTGGGTATCCTTGCAGCTAAAGATGGTGGGAGTCTTGTGACTATACTTAATTTGTCATGGAGAGGTGTGGTTACCTTGCTTCAGCGTGGCAAGGGCGCTTTAGCAGTAAAGGTGGATGTGGCTGATATTGTTCTCATTCTAATTTCACTGGCAAATGAATCTTTAAGATGTGCAGCTGAGAATTGGTCTTCTGTGCTGAAGGAAGCGGTTTCTGTGGCAGATGCTAAAAGGATATTCCTACCAGTAAAATTTTACCTGATTAATGCAGTAAGAATATCCTCCCAATACCCATGCCAAGCATTTTCAATAGACAGGGATATAACACTATGTGTCCTGATGATCTCAACTTTCAGAATCTCACTGAGTAAAGGGGAACTCCTGAAATCTGCTAGTGAATTGTTGGGAGAACTTCTGGAGCCAACAGCATTCCATTTTACTGAATTCTTTATTAAATTCAGCTCAAGTGAAACAGGAACACAAGTTCCAAATTCTGTACTGGTTGTTCATTGATGAAAGTGATTTAATGATTATCCCTGGAGGTCGGAATAGTAACTATAGGACTACTTCAATCGATAAAATGTTTTCTTTAAATTGTGATGCTATGCATGGAGCAAGAATATTATTGCTTGGTCGGGTTGCTTTATTTCTTAGTTTTTTGAAAAGTGCTGCTGATCTTGAAGAAGATGTAATACTAGGGATCACTAGAAAGCTTGGATGGCTTTTTGATGTCTTAATTGATGTGGAGGTGTATTCTTCCGTCCTTGCTTTGCAAGTTCCTATATTAAATGGTTCTAGTGAAACCCCGGAATTAGCTTATGAGCCTATGTTTTCTAACATTCTGCACGCACTGAAAACATTCATGATTGTAGTCTATTCCAGTCCAGCTTGGGGTGAAATTGAATCCTTCCTGCTCGAAAACTTCTTGCATCCTCACTTCCTTTGCTGGGAGATTGTTATGGAACTTTGGTGTTTTATGGTGCGTCATACTGAAATAAACATGGTGACTGACATTATCGATAAACTTTGCTTATTGTTGAGATTTGTGGCTTCTTCAAATTCAGTTCTTGTTCCTGGTAGTGCTTTACGCAAAATTGCAAGATCAAGTTGCATGATTCTTTCATGTAGTCCACAACATATGGTAGATCGAGCTTACGGTTCCATTGTTGGCAGTAGTGGATCTAAGTTGTCATCAGTTATGTTTGTAGCCTTGCTTATGGAAGGTTTCCAGCTAAATTTGCTTTCGGATAAGATGAGAAGTGTTGTCGAACAAAGAATTGTAATGGAATATTTTGAGTTCGTGGAGAGCTTCAATGACGAATCGTTGAGAGTGTGCAATTCTGATGCGTTTGGTGCACCAGTCTTTGCTATGTCTGCTGTTTCTCAGTCTCTGTAAGTAGTCAGTTCCTTACTATGATATGTGAGCTTCTATATTGAAAATGAATATTTTACTTCTTGATGCCCATGTGACTAAATGACACTGCTTAAGAATAATCTCAAATAATTTACCTTGATTTTATAATGTCAATCAATAATTTACATTAATTTGCAGAAAATAAGTGAACAACAAATGATTTTGCCTTTATGCAGTGTTGGCCCCTATGTGGAGTGCTAGGAGGGAAGACTGGAGAAACTTCAACTCTTGGCATTATTTTTGTTTAAAAAAAAAAAAAAAAAAAAAAAAAAAAAAAAATAGTTGCTCTAATATTGAAACCCTTGTCCTCATGCTTGTCAGTCTGGGTTTTTAAAATTACAAAGACTGGTGCACCAAACGCGTTCTTTATATATATGCATACATATTTTGTTTCAGTTATTTTCTCAAAATTCTTGCCTACTGTGTCTTTACTACCATTCTATGTACCAAATTAACGTCATTTTGGTGCATATCATGGAGTCCAAAGCGAGCTGCACGAACCTCCAACACATGGTCCACATTGGACTCCATGCTTGTGCACCAAATACGTTCTAATTATAGTAATTAATTAATACAACAAAAACAATAACACAAAAATTACAACTATTTTTCCAACGAAAGGAAAATTTTATATTTATTTCAATATCTAATATCAAACTTAACAATCAAAAGACATGAATTAGCTTAGAAATTGATTTACTTCCTTACAATTGTTTTTTGCCCCTCTTTCTTTTTACTTGAGGTGTTGGAATAGGAAAAACGAGACTATTCACATATGAAACTGCTATTGGCTGCCAAACTTCTGTTCGTGCAAGACGAGTGCACCTGTTATTTTTAGGATTATAGATGAATATCTTTATCTTATAAAGTATCATCACAATATCACCTTTCTTCGTAACACACAATGGCTCCAAATAATTTATATGTCTTTTATGTATCCAATGTGGGATGACAATTAACTTGGTCCAAGAATTATGCTCACCATATTGCTCCATAGTCCACACCTCAAAATAGTTCTTATCAATGGTACTAAAATATAAACTGAGGCATCCTTTCAAAACCGTCAAATCAAACATAGCTCCCTCATTTATACAATTTGGTGATGGCATCTCCCTGAACTTGTGATCCACCGTATCAAAGTAAACAATCACACACTCATATTGGTTTGTACGGCCAGCAACGTAGAGTTGTTCGTCTCTGTAGGAATCACCATACATAAAAGTTGTGTAGGAATCACCATACATAAAAGTTGGTGGATCAGAGGTTCCAACCATGCCCAATCTGTCGGGAGAGGGAGGTCTCACGTTGGCAACTCTAGCCGTGATTGACTCTATTATTATTGATCAAGGATTTATAAGCAACCATGTGTAATACTCCATTAGCAATAACGCCCGAACAACCGCGATAACCCAAATAAGGAAAGCGGTTAGTCCCGGTCCAGCATTGACCTCTGAAACTGTAAACCACAAAATCTGACTTACAGAAAAAGAGGAACTTATAATCATCCATTAAAGAATCATAGCAAAATCCACGTAGTGCATAATCCTTATATATTTGATCAGGACGTGAGAACTTCTTGTATGCTTTAGTTGATGGATTCCACAGTACACATATGGGTTCCTTTATAAGACTCAACACTACTAAACCATTCCAAGAACACTTCAGTACATAAGACTCCTTATACTTCTTACATGGAAAGCATAGTTTTTGCTCAGAATCATCACTGCAGTCATAGGCTATGGAGTTGAAATCGTTGGTCTTCCATCGGTTGTAGCCGCATGCTTTGACCGTCAAACTTAATTGATTCATTGAGATATGATCTCTCAAATTGGGGAATTGGAAATTGCAGCAAACAATGATTTACAAACGTACCTAAATCGCAATAGAGACTTGACGGGTAGTCTCAAGAGTATAATGTGATTTCATATGACGTGTCACCTTCAATTCCTCGTTTCCTTCGGTGTATCATGGCTTCGCTCTTCTCAGCGGCGGCAGAAGGATTCATGCAGGAAGAGTTTTAGGTTAAAATAACAGGAAGGGTTTTTAAGCTTTAGGTTATATATATATATATATATATATATATATACAAAATCCTAACTTCCAGAACCCTAACTTCCCCGCAAAAAGTCCAAGTGAAGAAAGGATCGACGACATCGCGACTCAGAGGCTTTCTTGGATGGGACACATTGTCTGTTGAACTCGTCGGAGCCTCAAGTATATTATTTCGATAGATAGGAATTCAAATCAATGAATGGACAGGCGAACGTCATGCACCAGGAAATCGAACCGCTCTAACAAATGAATATGAATTCCATTAAATACCTTCCTTAGTCTCTAAGGAAGTGAAGAAAGATACTCACAATCAGACTATATATAGAATTACCCATAGAAGATACAAGCTTCAATACGCCTACTCACAAGCAAAAGGATTACACAAAGGTTACCTATTAATTATTAAAGGAAGCCCAGAGGAAGTGAACCGGTTGTAGCAGTCTCGCTTGCAGCTCCTGTAGTATCCCTGGTTTTTCTTTGATTTTTCAAAACCCTAAGCCAAAACCGTGATCCCCCTCTCCGTCGGTTCCCCAATAAAGGGTCTGACCTCAGACACCAAAGGGTCAATGAAACGCTAGAGAGGATCTAGCCAGCGGCTGCCAAGGCTCGCCGCGATCTTCTTGCCGCCGGAGAATGTGTGTCCGCATGGAAGGTCGTGCAGTCTCTGCTGTTGACGCTGCGAGCCGATTCATGGGAATCGTTAGGGTTTCAAATGCAACAAATCCAGCATCTCCAACGCCTTATAGAAACAGAAGCAAAGGTAACGTGAAAATAACAGTATTTTTTTCCCTTAATTCTCTGCTTGATTGCTGAGAAAAGTTTAGGAAAGAAAGCAAGTAATTGTTGGAGTCTTTATTAACTAAACAACAACAAAACCCTTTCCCAGAACTCTACCCACAACTTTGGTCTTATTCTTTCCTAGCATTAATTCCCTCCATGTTGTCCATGTCACTTTTCCTAATTGTCCATGTAAATTAATTATATCGATCTTTTATGAAAAATCTCATTCAGGATTTTTATTTTTATTGGCCAATCTTCCTTTCTAAAGTTGATAATATTGAAGATGTGTTTGTGGATGGATTTCACCTTTCAAGTTCAAATAATTTCCACACAAATCTCTTGTGAAGTAACAATACTTTGACAAGTAACATAGCTCACTTTCACTCTTATTTCTGGTCATGAAGAATTTGAGAAAAGTTTAGGCATCTGTATTTTGAAAACTGACAATTATAGTTTTCATAATATCATTCATGTTACATCAAACAATATAATGTGTCTTATAATCTGATGATGCATGTTGAATGGTTCATTTGTATAGTGTTTAGGAATAGTTGTATAAAAAAATTGTTTAACTACTTGCCAAATAGGCTCAAAACAATGCTCTATTTTAGGTTAAAATAGTTCTTTCAGCAATATAAGAGCTTTAATAAATGTTTTGCCAAATAGATAAAGGAAAAGCTTCTGCCATTAAAAGCTCTTTTAAATACACTTTCCAAACACTAATGGATAAGGCAAATGGAAGTGATAGCTTGTACTTCTCTCCCTTTTTTTTTTCCTTAAAATAAAAAAGAAGAAGCAAAAGCTATGCCAAACAAGCCCTATCAGAGTGTGCCTTAACTTATAGTATTGAGATTGGCGTATTTTTCCATTTCAATTTCTTCAATTTATATTAATTTTTTACTTTTTATTTTTACTTTTGTTAATTAGGTCAATGCATTTATCCACTGCTTTGTTGGTGTTCAGAGAATTACTTCATTGTATGAATTGGAAGTTGCAATTTGCAAAAGTGAAGGTGTAAATCAGTTTGAGGAGCTAGAATATTGTTAAAAGGTATATTTCAAATTATATCTATCTATTTATATATAAATATATTTGTTAGGTAAGGTACATTGTTAATGGAGTGAGTTAAAAACTTGATAAAATTGTGGACTTTATAAATCTTAATGTTTTTTAAAAATTAAATGTAAATAAATGGAGCCATATGTTACGTTTTCCTTAATCTTTTGTTCGTATAGTACAGCTAGAGTTATCATTCCACCAAAAAAAAAAAAGTGTACATTGAATTTTTGAATCAATGCATGCTTATAAAAAATAAAAAAAATCACATTGCATCCACAACAAAGAAAACCAATCATTGCCTTTGTTGGTTTTAATAAAATTCTAAACCAATCATTATAGCTCAAGCTGTGTTAGAGCCAGACTTGCAACAATCAAGCTTAAAAGTAGCTTAGACTTGAAGCAGATCGCATCTCTCTCACAACTGCAACTACTTTTCCAGCAGGGTTGTTCCAAAGCTTGTGGTCAAACCTGGCTATTATCCTAAACCAATGCATGAGAGGCTGAAGATTACAGTGATGGAGTTGGCTCTCAGCTGCTGCTTATGTGTTTAAACTGGTTGATGGGTTGTGTAATTAGAAGTGTAATGTTGGTTTTAGATGTGCTCTGTTTGTTGTTTATCTCTTCCCTAATTGGGACACAATGTACATTCTTTCAACCTTAAGTAGAAGCTTATCCTTTAACTAAAAAAAAAAATTGTATGCCTATTGTTCTTCTGTGGACTTAATTTTAATGTTTGTTTGGCTAATTTAGAACACACTTCCATGGGCAGTGTTTCTAATTTTTTTTTTTTTTTTTACCTGAATATCTATAATATTGAAGTAATAATAGAGAGGGGGTAATGAGCAGAAAACAAGGACGTTTTATCAATTTGAAGACTAAAATACATAAAATTCCCTTTAAGGCAAAATAAAAACTCTCTCCCTCCGGGAAAATAATTTGGTTGTCATCTCATTCCCCCTCTCCCTGACAAAGAAAGGTTAATGAAGAATTTAGACATTGTTTTGAAACTCTATGCTCTACATATATTTGAAAAAGAAAAAAAAAAAAGTAAAAGTGAGAATATAATTCCCTGAACTACCTCTGTAGTTTTACAACCAAAAAAAAGGAAAACAATTCCCCACTACACGTTTGTAATTTGAATTTTATTAGATAATTTAAAATTTAGTATGATTTGAATTTTATTAGGTAATAATTTATTATATGTGATAGAGTTTTATAGATTTAAATTTTGTTATTTTATTTTATTTTTATATATATTTCAATTTCCTTTTCTTACCTAAAAATGACCTTTTTCTTTTTATTTTCTTACCTTACATAGAAATTAGTAATTACATACATGTATTCCGAGGAGTTACACCAAGGTAACCAAACATGCATTTCCATAAAAGATCTTCCAATGCGTTTGTCCCAAGGTCTCTCTATAAAAGCGCATCAATACGCATTCTCCCGAGTACCTTCGATTTCTCTGTCTAGGGTTTTCGAAATCCTCTCTTTCTCTCTCTAGATTTACAGAGATTTGAAGTAGAAAAGTAGAGACCAATGACGGATGAGGTATAGTATGCGTCTGGTCCGGACTCAGCCACCAACAAGAGGAAGTATGGTGACCAAACTCCGCCACCTCCGTCGTCCGGTACGTGGCAGGCCACCGGATTCTCTGCTCCAATCGTGTCTCAGTCACCAGATTCAAGTCACGCGCCGTCGTCGTACAACAGCATTCCTCCACCGGTCGATGACTTCCAGATCGCGAAGCAGCGTTGTCAGGAGATAGCCGCTCGTCTCTTCCACAACGTCGAAGCTAAACACCCTAGGGTTGAGAATGGCGGTGGTGGTTTCGATTCGAATGACAGTAAGGGTTTTAGCTCATATATATATATATATATATATATATAATGCATGTATATTTTTGTGTATATGTCTAGTAGCCTGATTGCTCTTGTTTTTTCTTCAATTTGTTCTTATTAATTATTTCAATTGATTAATTTTCATCACTAGAGAGTTCCGTTAAAAGTGTTTATACTTATTAGTGACTTCATTGTGTAGTTGCGTCTTGTTGTTTGTTTGGATTCACTGCTTAAAATCGTTTGGATTTATTTTAGTTTTGGCTGCGTATGGATGTAATCTACATGTTCATTGGTTGTCTAGAATCTCGCATCAGTTGGTAGTGCTTAGGTATATTGAATTGATTGAATGCAGATTCAGGACAGAAGCATATGTTTTCGAATATGGCTCCTTCGTGTATACCCGTTTCATATGGTCAGCCAGGCACAAGCAAAAAGATGGATGCAGACCCTAATTCCCCAACCAGAGTGGTTGAGCTCATGGGTACTCCGGAGCAAATAGCCAAGGCTGAGCAGTTGATAAATGAAACTCTTGCGGAGGTTGTGCTTTCGTTTGGTATTGTAATAATTGAATCTAATCTAGTAATAACTGAATCTAGTACTCTTACTATGCCCCTGAATTTGGAGAATATGCCCCTATCCAATCATATTATTATTATTATTATTTTTGAGCTTATGCTATTGTTGTTAACCGTCTTTGAATGATGATGCCAGATGCCATTTAAAACTATAAGTAATTTTTCAGACTGTGACTAGCTTGCCTTATTTACTATATGACCATATCCAATCATAGGATTTTCTTTTTTTATTAGCTTAATCCATTGGATTGTTAATAGTATTGAAGATGCCAGGGTAGATGCCATTTAAAACTATAGATAATTTTCGCTTTTAATTAATTACCCTGTCCTTGATTTTCGATTTCCAAGTTACCAGTTATGCTTATTGTGTGCTCCTGATTTTTATGTTAATGCAGATTACTCGAAGTAAAAATTGGTTCAAGGAGGGGTTTGTTTCCCCAGTGGTAAATCAAGGCCACACAAGTGACCAAAATAATTCAATATTATAAATACTCCGTAATAGAATAGTTTATATTATTTTAATATTATCTTTATTGTTTTTAAACACATTCTGGATAATTCCAGTTGTAAAACAAGTCGAATCAATGTACAATATACGGAACAACAGGAGGAATCAATATATGGAGTTATTTAGCATCCAAGAGCCTATTGATTGGATCTACAAGGTGCTTCCACTCCCCGATTATGGAAGAACCAGATTCACATCAGAGAACGGTACTATGTACGGTCATCCCAAGTTTACATTTTACTATTTTACAACATTACTGGGTGCATCGTAAGCGAGTCTATATGGATTACCCCTCCTTCGGAGTGGAAGGGGAACCGAAAGTAATCTTCAATGTAAGATATTTTAAAAATGATAATTCTATCTATTAAAATATCGATAATTCTATCTATTAAAAATGATAATTCTATCTATTAAAATATCTGAAGATTACTTTCGGTTCCCCTTCCACTCCGAAGGAGGGGTAATCCATATAGTCTCGCTTACGATGCACCCCGTAACGCTGTAAATAGTAAAATGTAAACTTGGGATGACCGTACATAGTACCGTTCTCTGATGTGAATCTAGTTCTTCCGTAATCGGGGAGTGGAAGCACCTTGTAGATCTAATCAACAGGCTCTTGGATGCTAAATAACTCCATTTATTGATTCCTCCTGTTGTTCCGTATATTGTACATTGATTCGACTTGTTTTACGATTGGAATTATCCAAGATGGGTCTAAAAACAATAAAGATAATATTAAAATAATATAAACTATTCTATTATGGAGTATTTATAATATTAAATTATTTTGCTCACTTGTGTGGCCTTGATTTACCACTAGGGAAACAAACCCCTCATTGAACCAATTTTTACTTCGAGTAATCTGCTTTAACATAAAAATCAGGAGCACACAATAAGCATAACTGGTAACTTGGAAATCGAAATTCGAACTACCAAAGGACAAGATAATTAATTAAAAGCGAGAATTATCTATAGTTTTAAATGACATCTACCCTGGCATCTTTAAGACCATTAAAAATCCAATGGCATGAGCTAATAAAAAAAGAAAATCGTATGATTGGATATGGTCATATAGTAAATAAGGCAAAGCTAGTCACAGTCGGAAAAATTATTTATAGTTTTAAATGGCATCTGGCATCATTCAAAGACTGTTAATAACAATAGAATAAACTCAAAAATAATAATAATAATAATAATATGATTGGATAGGGGCATATTCTCCAAATTCATAGTGTTTAAAATTGGTTTACAATGTGACTCAAAATTCTATAGAACATACCACCATGAAGAGAGATCAATATTAGATTCTGATGAAGGCACAAATTTGCCGCCTGATAACTTTGATGAAGGCAGTTCTTGTTGCTTAAACCTAAAACTAAGTGTCATGTTTTCCCCTTTAAATAATATTTCACATTGTTTTTTCAAACAATATATTTCACATATTTTCATATATGTATTTTGAATTACTAAAACTGAAAAGGCAAGTTACTAATTTTTCAAACGAACAATGCATATCCCACGTGTCTTTCTTAAAAATCAGACCACATCAGCCAAACACATACTCACCAGTAAAAATACTATACTTTTTTATTAATACTCAATTCAATTTTGGATAATAATTTGGTTATTTTTCTTGAACATTAAAAAATAAATCAAAAATTATTTTTGGAGCACCATAAATGAATTTTTTTTTAAACACTCAATTGCCCTTTAATAAAAAGGCTCTCAACAACCAATAATATTGTGACAACATAATGCCGCATCATTAATAATAGGGACATTTAAGTAATCTCACAAACATAATCCCCTATCATCTCTCGACCTACTGACCATCATCTCTGTCATGCCCTCTCCTCTGAACCAGCCGTGGCGGCACTACCACCAGCACAGATGCGGTGGCACCACTCCCACTATCCCCATAACCGCCACCACCATCCCCATCCAACAACGGCACCACCATCACCTTCTTCAACC